CCTTTGGGGGTACTGCCACCGAGTGGGGGGCCCCTGATGTAGGGCGCCCGCTAGAAGACAGGAAATCTGAGCAAGTTCCTGGCTCCTAAGGGTCTTGGCGATGGAGACGCTGTGCTCGCACAGGGAATGTCTGTACGGTGTGGCCGTGCAAAGTTCATTTTTCCGGGGATTGTGCTTCTCACTTCTGGGCGCTGCTTGGGGGTGCAGGGACCGTATTATTCGGCCACGTGGCTCCAACGCTGGTGGTGCCCCGTTATCTTCTCCCAGCCCAAGATTCTGGTACTGCCTTTGGCTTCTTTCTCTGGAGTTCCTCCTCCTGACACCATTTTCTTCTCGGCTTTTCTATGCCCTGACAGCATTGTGGTGGGAAACACTTTTTTTTACACGATATCCCCGGTATTTTTATAGGGGCTTGTATTTATACGTAGATAGCTGACATCTTTTCGCTTATGAAACACACAACGCTTGGGGTTGTGGACAGGAATGTGAAACCTACATATAAGAAAAAGCATTTTCCCCCCCCTTGAAGTTAGATTTCTCCATCAGGGTGGAGAAAGGTATGGAAACAGTTTTCTGAAAAGTCTGGAACCAAATTTGCCATGTTCAGGTACACAGTTCACCTGGGAGAAAAGTCCTCCGTCGATGATTTTCCCCAGCCTAGCATCTAACCTGATGTATACCAGAGACTATCCTAAATCAATTCAGTTTATTTAAAATAAAATATACATAGTTTGTTCCCATAGTTATCAGACCGCTAACTGTCCCTAGTGGTAAAATGATTTGGTTACAAGTTCCTTGCTGTAAGACACAAAAATGGGTCAGGTTTTTATTCTATAGTAGAACAGTAACCCAACCCACTTTTTATTTTTAAGAAAATAATAGGGTCTTATGCCAACGCTAAAGTGTCTCCGAAGCTCTCTTAAATACTAAACTCTGAGACCTGCGTTCTGAATTACTCCCTATCTCTTACCGATCGCAACTTTTCATTTATTTCCAATTTTAACTGCAAAATATTTGTCAGAACAAATTGTCTTGTGAGCCAACCATCTCAAAATATTTCTCCTAGTCTCAACAAGATTGTACTATATCTGAATCAATTAAACCTTAAAATTAAGTACTGTACAAACTACAGTGCATTGTATTTTCTTGGATTCATGTATTAGAGAAAAATGTAAACTTTTGTTTCTACTCTTTTGTTCTTTTTAGTAGTTTCATAAATTCAGAATATACGCATGTAAGCTTTCATCATAAAATAATTATGACAAAACCATTATGTATTTAAATAGGATCGTTCTTTCTCTTAGCCATGAAATTGGCGGGCGCAGTCCATTCTGTTCTGACAGAATTTACACTGCATCTCTCCTGCTCTTCATTGTCATCACCTCGCGGTTATCGGAGCCGTAGCAAGGGCAGCCATGGAAATGTCCCTCCGAAATTTTGGAAAGCAAGCCCTCTTTTTGTTTTATTAAGTCAACGATTTTTTAAAATTATTTATACATAGAGGAACTGGGGTACAGGCCAAAGATACGGGGGGAGTGTACTCACCAGAGACAGAGTGGGGAGCAGAACAGGCAGATGGACTGAAATACACTGCTGAGGGGAGCAGCAGGTGAGACTGGAGAGGTCTGCGGCGCCGTGTGGTCACCTCCAGGGAGGAAGATTGAACTTGCCCTTCAGAGGCTGCAGACCATTTCCTGGTGCCATACTTTAAGGGTTGCACTGCCAGGGAGGGCCCCTAAGTCAACGACTCTTAAGGATAAGATTTTTCAGTCATAATCATTCATGCATTTTAAGAGGAGGATTCATTCACTCTTCCTAGCAATCAGTAAATTCAGTATAGAATGGTATTTCTTAGTACTTCCACCATTTCTTGGGAGCGATTTAAACTGGAAGGTGCATTTAGAATATCAGTACGTCAGGTAACAAAAATTAAGCTACTGACTTGTGTGTTGATTGAAAGTATGTCTTGTCTCCAGCCCTAGGGTAGGATGTGGCATCAAGTACACACAGAATGCCAGTCGAATGAATGAATGGACAAAGAAATCAGTCTCCTAAATAAATGCACATTCCTCTTGAAATGTAAAGTGGCTTATTGGAAAGGTCATGAGTACACGTTGGAGACTTGCAAACCGAGTTCAAGTCCTCTCTCAGCAGAATTTTATCTCAGGCAAGTTGCTTAACTTTTCTGACACATTTCCCTCATTTGTGAAATGACAGTTATAACTACTTTAACCACTTATTATGCAAATTCAGTGTGATGAGATGTAGATCATATTGGTCAGCAAGCTAAAATTAATGTAAATATGAATATATTTGTCAATACTAGCTACTATAACAAAGAAATCCAAAAGTGTATAGAGGCACACAACATTAGTTTCTCATATGTGTGACATTCTGAATGTCATGCAAATCTGTAAATATTTAAGTGTGGGACTAAGTTTTGTTCACGTCCGACAGAGTGCTGAGATGTTAACAGTCACATCAAAATGGCAGAGGAGTGAAAAGCATGAAGGATCACTGGAGCAGGATTTTTAAGCACGACATTTGCATTTATATTCCGCTGGGTAGAACTCTCCCAACTATGAGGTAGGACATAAATTCCAGTCCAGGAAGAAAAAGAAATAATTTTGATGAACAGCCAGTCAGTCTCTGTTGCAGTTGGTTTCTAACAATATAAGTCTATAGTTGCAATTAATGAACACGCTAGATGATTAATAAAGCAATTTCCAAGAGTTCAGTTTAAATCTAAGTTATCAGTAGTAGAACAATCCATTGCAATGGTTATCAGCAATAATTGTCTCTTCTTCTTTTCACAGATGTCTTAAGTTGTAATGTTTGTATTAATAACACATGAGAATACATGAGGAACAGAATGTCATTTGAAACTGGGATTCTTCAAGTATTCTGGAAAGTTCCCTCTTATTTTCATTGTCAGGTTTGTTTCCTACTATGTTATGAATGTATGAATGAAAGTTTTTCACTCATATTGTCCCTCTTAAACAAGTCTGTTAGCAACTTAAGCAATCTCTGAACATTATATTTAGCATTTCAGGACACTGTGTCTGAAGAAGTTACTGACCGTAATTAAGGAACTGCTTCTGAGGCATAGAGCTGGAATTCATCTTCTAACCCCAAAGCAACAACAGACATAATTATTATTCCTAGTTGTGCAGGAAAACAAGCTATTCAATAAACTAATGCTTCTATATTGTGCTCCCAGAGCTTCGATTTAGGATATAATCTTCATTTCCTAAAATGGTGTACATTATTAGTTGTTTCAGAACCTGTTCTGTGGGATTGAACCTTTTACCACCACAGCTAACAGTGAAATAATCACAGTAGATTTCCAGCCCTCACCTAGTAATTACCTCAACTCTTCCTCAGTTATTTCACGTAAATACAGTGTCTCCAGAAAATGTCCCCGTCCATTTTAAAGCACAGTTTATTCTATTAATGAAAATATACTCAAAATCAGCCAGAAATCTACAGCTGACATTTTTTGTTTGTGTTTTACCAGCTATGATGGACTTCGATTGCTTTGTAATATTTCACTAACTAATAATAGTTTGTGTTTTAAATGCCAAGAAGACATTATAAGTCTCACAAGATTTCTTGGGCAGAACTATGACTACTGTAAGTGGCAAACACTCTCTGAATTCAAAACTTTCAATTTAATCCAAACCCTGAATTTCAGTCCAGCCTTCTTTAGGTTGAAAGCCCTGTCGAGAGAAAGCAGGCGAATCAGAGTCTCTATCTCATCTTGTTTTCCTTTTCCATCCCCCAAGTCAGTCTCTGCATGAAGACAAAACAGTTCTTATCCAACTGGTACCATTGTAAGCCGGCTTTGCCCTCTCTCGGTCTGGCAGTTACATGACTTGGAGGGCCCACTACAAAACAAAAATGAAAAATAGGCCCCTTGTTGTAAAAGATTTAAAAATGTCCAGGCAGCACTGGCAGAGTCTTAAAAAGGTGAGCATAGGTCTCCCTGGCCTTTATAAAGCTGACTTCTCCAAGAGTTCTTTGGAGTGTCACTGCTGGGGTCCCCTAGCTGACGCTCCCATGACAAGGATGATGTGGCTTTTTCTTCAGCTGGCTGCACTCTTCAGCTCAGACCTGCTGTTGTCTTACCACTGGAATCTTCTCACCCTCTGGCAGAAGGTCCTCCAGAGGGCTCTAGGTCAGTTCTCTCTCCCTCCTGGACTTTATCTGAGCCACAGGAAACCTCACGACCTCTTGCCCTGCCGCTCATTCTCTCACTCTTGGTCCTGTCAGAGAAACAGTTGGGCCCTTGTTGGAAAAGAATTGTGATAGTTTCCATGGAATCCCTCCACCGCAGAGAATACATGCCAGGATGCACAGGATTCAGGAGAAAACCACGGAAGCCTCTCAGCAGGAACTGAAGGAGCACCCTCCACCATCTCCCCACTGGGAGTTGGGAGCCAGCCTTCCCCAGGGAAAGTCTCTGTCTCAAATACTTCCCATTATTTTATGTTCTTAACGTGGATGACCCACGTGGCGCGGCAGACCTCTCCTGACTGCCCGCTGCTCCCCTCGGCAGTGGACTTCGTCGATCTGCCTGTTCTGCTCCCCGCTCTGTCTCTGGTGAAGCCTCTCACCGCTCCTGCACGCCAGTTCTGTAAGCAAATAAATAAATCTTTTTTAAAAAAAAAGTGAATGAGAATATTTGAGTCAATAGCTAGACTTTGAACTATTTCCTTCATAATAATGACAAAACCTGAAGTTTTATACTTTTTATATATGAGTATCTCAGTTTTAACTTTCTTTAAAAATCATATTATCTGTATTATAGCTCAACCTTCTGTGGTAATCATTTGATAATATATATAAATTGAAACTATGCTGTGTGGCTGAAACTTATACAGTCATATATGTCAATTATTTCCCAATAAAACTGGGATAGAAAAAGTACATTATCTCTATGGTAGAAATATTTTCCATTTCTTACTTAGACATGCATAAAAATTATAGCTATTACCAAAAATATATATATTTAGGTTAACAGATGTTCAAAGCACAAAAGTAATTAAAATAGTATCATCTCTGTATTTGGGTTTCTGTGGAACAAATATGTGACAAAATTGTTGTTTTCATAAATAGTTACCTATGTTAGTGATAGTAAGAATTTAGAATCTGGCCCTTGGTTAATTTCTCAAAGTTATTTTTTTTTTAAAGTTGAAATCATAAAACTTAGCTCTATTATCTATAAATGTGGCATAAACTCAAGAACAAAAATACAATTGGTACTGTGAGTTCATCACTTGGATGAAGGTTACATTGAAACATGAAAACCCTTGGCTACAGGTGTGAATGTCAAATTAGATGAAAACAAATTTAAATATAAGATCGTCTCGATTTTCCTTTACTGCCTGTGATTAACAAAGAGGAAGTATCTTCCTTTTTCCATGGCAAAGTATAAAAAATTCAAAAAATAATGGAACGCTAGGGTTTAGTTGAACCACCTTAACTTTTTCTCACTCCTTTCAAAGTACAATTGTGAGCCTTGTGCATATTCCAGAATAACAATTTGCTAAATACACACCACAATTTTCAACAGTAGGTCTTCTGCCACCTCTCATCTTCTGAAAAGTTACTTCCTCATCGATATCTTCTAAGTATCCATAAAAGACCTTGAGTTACATGAAGTCTAAAAATCTTATTTATGAACAAATGCTTCTTTAGATGACTCACAAGGGGGGATATATAGAGTAAGGAAAAAGACCAACTCACCAACCTTTGCTTAAGCAATATACACTTTCTCCTTAATGGTGGATTATCATAACCTCTCTCCGTTAAATCTCCAGCCAGGGTTTGATAGAGTTTGTTTGCACATTGGCCTGGTCCTATTGTCTTTCTGATAAAACGTTTTACATCGCAGATGATACAGTTCACATTTTAACTTAAATTCACACTCGAACTTAATTCTACAAACTCTTGCTGACTCGTTGAGCACTCAACGATCTAGAGATAGATATGCATGCAACCCAATGCCTGCTTTCAAGATTTTGGAAGACCGACAGGAATCACCCACTATAATACAATACACGTGACTATAGACAAGGAACAAGGAGTTAAGAGAACATACCCTGGGGACAATGACTGCAGAGTGAGAGGGAATGAGTTGGGTCAACCTGAAGAAAGGCTAATGACATTTTAGCAAAGCTTTAAAATGAGGTCAGAAGTTGATCAGGCAAGAGCTATTCCAGGCAATGAAAGAAATACAGAGAAAAGCAAAGCAAGGAAATCTTCAGGGACTTCACAAAAAGAAAATGTGTGCAGGGAACTTTTCAGTGATATGAAATCATCTGAGTTGAACTTAATAATCACGAGAGGAAATAAAATTTACACGTATGCAAAAGCCATGGAGAAGAAGGACTGATCTCCAGAGAATTATCAAGACTAAGGGATCAGGTGATCAGATGGAGCCCTGGGTGTGCTAAAAAAAAAAAAGAGAGAGAGAGAGAGAAATAAAGGTTGATGCCCAGAATGCTATTCTGTTAAGACTGTGAAGAGGATTTGTGTGTGTGTGTGAACATGCACACACTATGGTTTTCGTTGTTCATTTTGGAGAGTGGGATGAGTGGGATTGACAGAAGACCAGGTTAGGAAGGAGGAAGGAGAAAAGGAACCACTTTGGAAATGCTAAAATTGACATATGCCTGTAAGACTCTCAGACTCATACAGCAATAAGCACAATAGCTACAAGATTACTCTCTGCCAACCACTCTACTTAACTTTCTACAAGAATTAGTGGGTTTGGGGATATGAAAATATGGAGGTCTCACTTAAAAGACTTCACCTGTAGATACAGGTCAGTATCACAGCATGGAGTAGTGGCACAGGGTAGCAAAGTGATTTAAGAACTGAACTTTGGGTCAAGGAGATGGAGCAAAAATAGCCAAATGAATAAGGAGAGAAACCGAAGGAACTATGAAAGTCAAGGGAGGAGAGAACTTCCAAACAGGGGCATGTTGGCCACTCGAAAAACTGGAGAGGAGTCAGATCAAGAAGAAAAACTTCTAAGTGCCTACTAAAGTTCACACCTGGGGAGTCAATGATTACTTTTGTGGATTTAGTATCATGGGGTAATATCATTATAAAATGGACAATTGAGGAAGAGGGAATAATGGAATGATCTGGAACTAATATTTTCCAAAAAGCGAACCTTACTACGAGCCAGCCGGCGCTCTGCTTGTATGGTAGGATGCTATTTGAAACATGTATCATTGTTTTTGGGGTTCAGATCTCCACTAGTCCTTTCCCACCATTTAGAGCTGAAAGAGCTGTGTGTCAGGAAAGGCCTACCAGAGTACATGATTCAGAAAGAATCCTTCCCTTGGCTTTTTCATGTCAAAAGTAATCCTCTGGGGGAAATGTTGATGACCTTGGGCTTAAAATATGGGATTTGGGAGACTACATAATGCCAAGAACAAGGCTTCTCACATTTGTTATGTAGCTGCCCCCTCCCCGCCCAGCACTTTACTGTGATGGCACTGGGCTTCCCCCTCAGCCTAACCCAGCTCCCTTCATCCACACACATCTATCCTACCAGTATGTCCAATAGCTCCCTACAGGCTACTTTCTGGCTCAGGGTCTATATTACTAGGACTCCACCTTGCGGGGAAACAATTCCAATATGCCTTGGGAAAACTACAGTTTAGAGAATTAACATTTCTGTGGTGGTCAGCAACTTGTTTGCGGTTGGATAAATGCTATCCTGATCTCTTCCTTCCCTTATTCCTTGCTTTCTAGGGATTTGTCTGACTGGAGATTGGGGGGGGGGCAGAAACTAGGCACTTAGCTCATTACTGAGGCCCCTCTGTTTGGGGGATAAGCCTGCTTCCCCTCAACCAAAACCAAAACCTGACCTGCCCCCTGGAGTTTTCTGGTCCTGGAACAAAGTATTAGGGAACTCACTCGTCTGTAGGCCTCAGTGCATCCCTCCACTCATCTTTAGCCATGTAAAGTTGCTATTTTCTTTGCAAACTCTTATTGTTTGTATTGTGTTTCTCATTGGGGTCCAAATTCACAAGGAGAGAGGAGGGCTAGTTTATCTTCACCCCTTTCGCTCTTTTGGGAGGAAAAGAAATAGCATTACTCTTTAGGTGAACTTTTATAGTGAGAAAAGGAAAAAATACACATGATGTGGAGTCTAAGTTAATTTAGGAAATGTCCATAAACTCTTCTCCTAAATGCAAAGCAGTTCCTCTCTGAGAAAAGGAATCTCTCCACTTCCCAGTCATTAGATTTAGATCATTGTTCTTTATTCTCCAAAGTTTTGGCTTAATTCAAAAGACTTATAAAGAGGAGAGTATTGGGGTTTTTTTTGCAAAGAACATCAGGTTTTCTTTCTTTCTTTTGGTTTGGTAAAAATCAGTTTTACATTAGTTTAATGCCATTTTATTACCAAAAGATAGCTATGCTAAATGGGTCCACATATGAAAATATCTACACATGTGTGTAGAAGTGATGGTGAAGATGACTCCAGTTTTATTTATTTTTTAAATATCTATTTATTTGTGTACAGAGAACTGGGGTACAGGCCAGAGGTGCAGGGACAGTGAGAGGGTTCACCAGAGACAGAGTGGGGAGCAGAACAGGCAGATCGACGAAGCTCACTGCTGAGGGGAGCAGTGGGGAGACTGGAGAGGTCTGCAGCGCCCTGTGGGTCAGCTTCAAGGCCGGGAATCGAACTTGTGCTAAAGCGGCTGCGACCAGCTGGCAGTGCTGTGTCCTAACCTGTTGTGCCACAAGGGAGGGCCAAGAAAGAGGCACTTTAGGCCCAGTTGAGTCTGTCAGGTGGTATATTTCGCAGATTCACATTGAATATATGTTTACTTCTGATACTCATTTTAAGATGTCAAGATCTCAAAAGTATGCACGTGACTGTTGTCTGAGGAATGCTAGAATTTCCAAGGAACCGTGAAGTACTGATGAAGTAAACCCATAAACCATTTGCCCGTTGTACTGCTAATCAATAATTCTGTTATTAGCTTACCAGCATTTGTATTTATCAAAACACAAGACATACAATAGCATTTTTTCACCTTTGATAAGAAGATTTCAGGGTGCAGGAGATAGGACAGAGGCCTCTTCCACATCTCCACTCCATTGTCATATTCCTTGGCATCTGCAAGATGAAGGTTGAGAAGATCATAGGACTTTGCTCAGAGGTGACAATAGGCTTGCTCTGAGCTATCGACACTCACACCTAGGCTTCTTGTGATCAATGACACACAATTTGGAGACGGCTGACTGGGGTTAATGGTGCAATCTGTGGCTTTGGAACAGAGTTCTTCTCTATGTGAAACTAATTGGCCCATATGGGAAATAAACTGGTAACAGTGTCCTCATTTGTCAACGCATCTATTCAGTGTTTGAATGTTTCGCTTGAGTATTACCTCAAATTTAACCAATAAAGTTTCAGAAACTAATATAACTTCAGAAAGGGAAAGAGAAATTAAGTATTTCTTTAAAATATAGTAGCTATTTCTCAACCCAAGTCACT